CCACCTCGACCTCCCGAAGGGCTCCCGCAAGCCTTAGGATCCAGTGGCAGGCGCGGCGCGCGCGAAGGCGCGCGCGGGCACGCTCGCCTTCCCAGCTCGTGGCGCATGGTCTGGGCGCGCAGAGGGCTGGCGGGGCGGCGGGGCGGGCCCTGACCTCTCGAGCACTCGGTCTTGGGCGGTCGGGGCGCCGGAGGTGCAGGAAGAGCACACGTCAGGCACACGGGCGCACGGGCGCACAGCCGCACAGGCACACAGACACAACACACTGACACAACACACTGACACAACACACACACACACACTCACACACACACACACACACGCACACGCACACGCACACGCACACGCACACGCACACGCACACGCACACGCACACGCACACGCACACGCACACGCACACGCACACGCACACGCACACGCACACGCACACGCACACGCACACGCACACGCACACGCACAGACACACAGTTGGGCGATTGCGGCCTCGCGCGAAGCGGCGAGGCGGAGAAACTGCAGACAGCGACGCGCGCGCGGCGGCCGGGCCCTCAGAATCGCTTAAGATGTGACCTGCTGGCATCAGCCATCTGGGCGTGGATGGCAGGGAGAAAGCATCTGGGACCATGGGAAGGGCTCGCCATACATAGCCGCATGTGAAAAGGAGCGCCATAAGCTGCCCGGGCATAGACAGCGAGAAGAAAAGCGCACGCCAGCGAGGCAGCCCCACGCCGGCGGCCAATGACGGCGAAGAGCAGCACGGCAAGCGCGAGGAGCACAAGACGCGGCAAACAGCCGAAGGGAGACGACCCCGCTAGCAGTTCAAAGCAAGCAGAAACAAAGAAGGGGAGGCCACAACGGCGAAGAGGGCAGACAGAGACGGGTAGGAAGGACGCAAATCGGGCGGGCCCGACGCGGCGAAGGGACAGGGCTACGCCTATCGCCTAGCCTGCAGCCCCCGCCTCCTCCCGGGGCGAGGGGCAGGCCGCTTCCCCCGCCGTCTGGTACCGGAGACCCCGCGCGGGAAGGGGCGGGCGAGTGCGCAGCGGCAAAAATATCATCGAGTAGGCTGTCAAGGGAGCCGCCGGGGGCGCTGGCGGGGAAGCCGGTGGGCGCGGCACCACCACAGCCTGGTTGCTGCTGTCCCTTGGCCACGCAGGCCCGCCACCGCCATCGGACGAGGGCGGCGGCTTCCCACTCGCCTTCGAGCAAAGAGGCCACCCGTGCAGCCAGGCGGCGCTGCACTGGGCAGGGCACCTGGGGGCCGGCGCACAATGGGCTGCGCGACGAAACACGCCTCGGGGGGGCGGAGGCACGTTGGTGAGGTTCGACCCCGTCGCTGGGCTGGCTGCGGGAGGGGCGGGGGCAGGCGGCGGCGGCGTGGGAGAGGATCCAGGAATGACGGCGCGCGGGGCTGCCCCGCGACTGCTGGCGGGCCGCGCACCGATGGCCACAGGCCTGAGGTCCGGAGCGGGGTCATCGCCGTGACGAACACGAGGAGGAGGAGGAGGAGGAGGATCAAGAAGGAGGGGCAGGAGGAAGAAGGAGAAGAAGGAGGAGAAGAAGAAGAAGAAGCAGCACCGGGGACGACGTCCGCAGCGGAAGGTCACGGCCCGCGAGCTCGCGAGCTCAGAACAACTCGAGGAAGGACTTATCGATGCCGACCTCGATCAAGAGGCGCAGGCGCACCGACAGCTGCCGCCCCAGCGCCGCGCCGCGGCGCCGCCGAGACGTCCTCGGCCGTCACGGACGTTCCCAAGAGCCCCACGGCGCCCCCCGCCTGGCCGCCGAGCTAGGCTCCAGGCGACTCACGACTAGGAAGCGTCAAAGCGCCAGGCAGCCCAGGGCGGCGCGGGGGCGGCCGCACAGGCAGAACATCCGCCCAAACATCGTTCATGACGCCAGACTTGCCCGTGCCTTTGTCCTTGCCCTTGCCCGAGGCTGTTCTGGAAGGCGGGCCGTCGCCCCGCCGCACCAGCGGCAGCTCGTCGGCCCGGGCGTCGTCCTCCAGCAGCGGCGCAGGCGGTGCAGCGGCCCCCGCATCCGCATCCCTGTCTGCCCCAGTCTCCAACTCCATGCCTTTAACGGCGTCGCCATGCTTGTCATTCGCTGCCTCGCCCGTCTTGCCGCCGCGGCCACGGGGCCGCCGCCGCCGCCGCCGAGGAGCAGCAGCGGGCCTCGCCTGGGGCGCCACGGCAAGCGCAGAGGAGGGTCTGACCAGCATGGCCACCGCCGCCCGCAGCATGCCCTCGGCCGCCCTGATCATGCGGAGGGACTCGCGCAAGTCTGGGCAGCCAGTTGTGAGCCCAGCCACCGAGTGCGCCGCGAGGAGGGCGCCACGCGCCACCTCGAGCGCCGCGGTGCGGGCTCCCATCGCCGCCGGCATCGGAAACGCTGCGGCGGAACCAGGGGGGCGCCTGCGAAGCGAGCTTGAGCCCAAGCGGCTGGAGGGGCAGGAGGAGGACAAGGAAGAGAAGAGGACGAGGAAGAGGAGAAGGAGGAGGAGGAGGAGGAGGGGGGGAGTTGGAGGAGGATGAGGAGGAGGAGGAGGAGGAGGAGCAGGAGCAGGAGGTGGAGGAGGAGGAGGAGGAGGCGGAGGAGGAGGAGGAGGAGGGTCGAGTTTGTTCCCCGCCGAAAGAAACAGAGGGGTGGGGGCCTAAAAATAAGAACCCTTCTCGACTAGGGCTGGCCCAGAGGCGGTGGGTGGCGGGGAAGGGGTGGCAGGCGACGCTCGGGCTCCGAAGGGGCGCCCGCGAGGGGCCCCAGGGCCTGAGGCACCCACCGGAGGGAGCCGCGCCGCTGCCGAGGAGCTGTGGCGCGCGCGCGGGGGGGGGGGGGGGCAGACGCACGCTGGCGGGCTGGCTGCCGACGGGCACAGCGCCCGAGCGGGACCTGGGCTCCGCCTGGGTAGGTTCGAAGCCTCACGGCCAACCCGCATCATACGCACGATGAGGATGCAAGGGCTTTGGACGACCATGTCGACACTTTGCGGGCGGGGCGCGGCCGGCGAAAACGGCCGAAGATGGGCCGAACGGGAAGGATGCCAGGGTAACCTTGGAGAGTCGCTCGTCCTTCCTATGCGGGTTGACTACAGCCTGGGCGGGCTCGCGAGAGCTGGTAGCACCCGCGGATCTGGTGGGCTGGGGCGGGGCGGCGCCCTTTTCGGGACGGCTGGCCAGTCGGCACGGGGCCCCGAGCAAAGCGACGGCCTTGTCCGCGGACGCGCAAGCAGGGGGGGGGGCGCGGGGCGCGCTTCGAAGCGGGAGGGCTGCCCTCAGCCACTCCCGCTTCGCTAGCCCCGCGGCCACGGCGGCGGGGACGAGGCGCAGAGCCACCGCCCACCGCAGCGGCCTCGCGCCCTGGGGGGGGGAGGGCACAGCTGGTGGGCGCCTCAGCGCCCCACCGAGGGGTGCGAGGGTGAGCGCCACGGTGCCTGGTGCAAGTGAGAGCGACGTGCTTCTTGCTGCCAGGGTCCATGCTGTGCTAGCCGTGCAAGGCCTGGGTGTCCCAGGGCGGAGCCCAGCGAGGAGCCCAGGCGCGATAGGCTTAGGGTCAGTGTGGATGAAGGACTTGCCAGGATTGAGGTGAAAGAGAAATTCCTCCAGACGTCCCTTCCACCCATGGTCCGGCGTATGTCGTTGAAGCGTTCCACAAGAGAGGCAGGGCGAAAGGCGCTAGCCGCCACGTACCCGTTGGGCTGCCCAGAAGCGGGTGATTACATGCGTGGCGGGCTTACCAGCGCCCACCGGGAGCTTGCGCCCGTAGGCGCGGAAGTGAAAGCGCCGTAGAACTCGACGTCACACTTCGCAGGGTCCCCAAACTCGGCGGGTGTGCGCCCGAGCGCCTCGCGCCCGAGTTGAGCCTGACAGTAGCCCAGTTGCACCCAAGCGTGCGCGACCGCCAGAAGGTCTTCCTTTGACAGATCGACAAAAGGAATGAAGGCGATGCGGGCGAAATCCTCAGGGCCAGAAGCGCCTGGTGGCAACACACAGACACACAGACACACAGGCACAAAGGCACACAAACACACAGACACACAAACACACAGACACATAGACACACAGACACACCGGCACACAGACACGCAGACACATAGACTCACAGACACACAGACAGACAGACAGACAGACAGACAGACAGACAGACAGACAGACAGACAGACAGACAGACGGACAGACAGACAGACAGACAGACAGACAGACAGACAGACAGACAGACAGACAGACAGACAGACAGACAGGCAGGCAGGCAGTCAGGCAGGCAGGCAGGCAGAGCCTGCAGAACGCACAACGTCTGGCATCTCTTCTGGGGTCGAGGACGGGCTGGCTGAACTGCATAATCGCACACGCGTGCCCAGGACAGACAAGTGTTCTACGTGACTTCGTTCATCCAACCGACTGCACGGTCATCGCGACCGAACCAGCTTGACAACGGCCCAGCACGATTCCAGGTTTCAACGCAGACTGTGCCACTGCGAACCAGCCCTGTAGAACCGATTCCTCCTTCCCTTCCCCTGGTCACCATTCAGCCCTGCTGTTCTCTCTCGTCCATCAACCTTGCTCTTCCTCCTTCTCCTCCTCCTCCTCCTCCTTATCATCATCATCATCATCATCATCCTCCTCCTCCTCCTCCTCCTCCTCCTCCTCCTCCTCCTCCTCCTCCTCATCATCATCATCATCATCATCACATCACCACCATCATCATCATCATCATCATCATCATCATCATCATCATCATCATGAGCAGCATCATCATCAGCAGCAGCATCATCATCAGCATCAGCATCATCATCAGCAGCAGCATCATCAACATCACCATTACCATTATCATCTTCATCATCATCGTCATCATCATCCTCATCATCAGCAGCAGCATCAGCATCATCATCATCATCAGCATCATCATCATCATCCTCATCATCCTCATCATCCTCATCATCCTCATCATCCTCATCATCCTCATCATCCTCATCATCATCCTCATCCTCATCCTCATCCTCCTCCTCATCATCATCATCAGCATCATCATCATCATCATCATCATCATCATCATCATCATTCCTACTGCGTCTTCTCCTCCTCCTTCTGCTCCTGCTCCTCCTCCTCCTGCTCCTCTTCCATCACCGCCTCTCCTCTTGATCCTCCTGGTCCTCTGATCCTGTTCCCTCCTTCACTTCTCGAAACCGCGCTTACATGACACCCAACCAGACTGTGCCACTGCGAATCAGCACTGTAGAACTGATTCCTCCTTCCCTTCCCCTGGTCACCATTCAGCCCAGCTGTTCTCCCTCGTCCATCAACCTTGCTCCTCCTCGTCCTTCTCCTCCTCCTCATCATCCTCATCATCATCATCAGCAGCAGCAGCAGTATCATCGTCATCCTCATCATCATCATCATCATCATCATCATCATCATCATCATCATCATCATCATCATCATCATCATCAGCATCAGCATCCGCATCAGCATCAGCATCGTCAGCAGCAGAAGCAGCATTAACATCAGTCATCGTCAGCAGCAGCAGCATCATCACCATCATCAAAACCACCATAATCATCATCACAATCAGCAGCAGCAGCAGCATCATCATCCTCATCATCATCATCATCATCATCATCATCATCATCATCATCATCATCATCATCATCAACAGCAGCATCATCATCAACATCATCAGCAGCAGCGTCATCAGCATCATCAGCATCATCATCCTCATCATCAGCATCATCGTCATCAGCATCATCAGCATCATCAGCATCGTCATCATCGTCATCATCACCACCACCAGCATCATCATCATCGTCATCAGCATCATCAACATCATCATCATCAGCATCATCATCATCATCATCATCAGCATCATCATCATCATCATCATCATCATCAATTCATCATCGTCACATCCATCTCAATCATCAATCATCATCACAACATCATCATCATCATCATCATCATCATCGTGATCATCATCATCAGCATCATCATCGTCATCAGCATGTTCATCAACAACAACATCATCATCAGCATCATCAGCATCATCAGAAGCAGCACCATCCTCATCCTCATCATCATCATCAGCAGCATCATCATCATCATCAGCAGCAGCATCATCATCATCATCATCATCATCACCACCATCAGCATCATCGACATCAGCATCATCATCAGCAGCATGAGCATCATCATCATAATCAGCATGATCCTCATCATCCTCATCATCCTCATCCTCATCATCATCAGCAGCATCATCATCGGCATTATCAGAAGCTGCATCAGCATCAGCATCAGCATCATCATCAGCAGCAGCAGCAGAATCATCATCAGCATCATCACCATCACCACCACCACCATCATGATCATCAGCAGCAGCAGCAGCATCAGCATCATCATCATCATCATCATCATCAGCAGCATCATCATCCTGATCATCTGCAGCAGCATCAGCACCGTCATCAAAATCATAATCATCATCATCATCATCATCATCATCATCATCACCATCATCATCATCATCATCATCAGCATCATCATCATCATCCTCATCATCATCAACAGCATCATCATCAGCAGCATCATCCTCTTCCTCATCACCATGACCACCACCATCATCATCGTCAGCATCATCATCCTCATCCTCATCATCATCACCACCACCATCATCATCATCATCAGCATCATCATCATCAGCATCAGCATCATTATGATGAGCAGCAGCATCAACATCATCAGCATCATCATCAGCATCAGCATCATCAGTATCATTACCCACATCATCATCAGCATCATACTCATCCGCATCAACATCATCATCATCATCACCACCATCATCAGCATCATCATCATCATCAGCATCATCATCAGCAGCAGCATCATCATTCCTACTGCGTGTTCTCCTCCTCCTCCTTTTCATGCTCCTCCTGCTCCTCCTCCTCCTCGTCCTCCTCCTTTTCCTTCTCCTCCTCTTCTATTTCCGCCTCCTCATCATGAACATCACCATTACCAACATCATCTTCATCATCATCGCCATCATCATCCTCATCATCATCAGCAGCAGCAGCATCATCATCAGCATCATCATCATCATCCTCATCATCCTCATCATCCTCATCATCATCCTCATCCTCATCCTCATCCTCCTCATCATCATCATCAGCCTCATCATCATCATCATCATCATCATCATCATCATCATCATCATCATCATCATCATCATCATCATCATCATCATCATCATCGTCATCATCATCATCATTCCTACTGCGTCTTCTCCTCCTCCTCCTGCTCCTGCTCCTCCTCTTCCTGCTCCTCTTCCATCACCGCCTCTCCTCTTGATCTTCCTGGTCCTCTGAGCCTGTTCCCTCCTTCACTTCTCGAAACAGCGCTTACATATCACCCAAACAGACTGCTGGCACTGCTGACTTGCCTCGTCCCCCTCCTCCTCAGCGTGACCG